GTGTCTACACCGGACGCGAGCGGCAAAATACAGGAGAACCGTTATAATCAGTGACGCTGTGTACACTGGATGCGACGCAACGCGACAAAACCCGACATTAAACTGAATTTATCAAGATATGTCAAGATATTTATCAAGATATGTTTATATAAATTTATGACTTATAACAAAGTTAATATGATTTGCAACGGTCGCTTTGTCGCGTCCAGTGTAGAGCTGTTGCGGCGCGACGCGACAACTGTAGCGTCCGGTATAGACACAGTGAGTGAAGCCGAGATCAAGATATGCCTTGTCATATTTTCTGCATTTAGCATTTGAATGACCAGCACCTGCCTGGGTCTGAGCGACTTCATCTATGGCTTTTCTCTTCGCTTTCACAAACCGATCCATCTCCCATTCTAATTATGTCCTTTGGCTGTTTACTGCTGTTTATTTCTTTTCTTTTTCTGCTGATGTGCCCGCGCTCGACTTGAAGCAGCGCTGCTTAGACCGATGGGTGTGTCATCAAAGTACTGCCTGCCAGAGCTATAAGAGAGCGCGGACGTCTCCATATGCTTTCTTTCGCTGTACTTTGATGTCGATCGATACACCGATCGATCTTCAAGTGGAACACACCGCTTTACTCTGGCGTGTCACGTGACCGAGTGTAATCGCAGTCTCTGCAATTGAAAAATCGTGTTTTTTCATATCGCGATATTATCGTAAATGCAATTAATCGTTCAGCCCTAAAAAAATGCAAATCATGCATGTAGCAATTACCAGAAAAAAAAGCAGTGAAGCACATTTTTAAAGTATTAGTATTAAAAAACGAACTAAATAAATAAATATCTTTGAGACTATCTGCAGATCCTTATGCCTGTGTGTCAAGGTCAGTAAGTCTCATAAAATATCAGATAAACTGACCTTTCGATGAGAAGAGAAGGCAAGGTTAGTTTAGTTTGTAAAACGTCAAGAGAAAAAGACATCATGTCTGCTAAAACTTAAAGGGGTCATATGATGCTGCTAATACGGGACGATTCCGTATTTTAAGGGACGGGTGGCAACTGGCAACCCTAAAGATAAGTGTGCTTGACTGTATATCCTTTGAAAGAAACACTGGGGTTACAAATAATATTTTAAATAAAACTCAAAATCATTTTTTCCACACTTCAGCATTAGCTGCACTAAACAAATCTTCATCTTAAAGGAAATCCCCCTTTTACATTTGTGCAAAACTTGATTGTTACACTTTTCAAGAACACCAGGACAATTACAGAAGATAACAATAGATTCAGTGTGTGCAAAGAAATTAAATCTTATCTAACAAACCTTATCTAACAAAATTGATATTCAAGTACTTTGTACTAGCGTGACAGGAAGAGGTTCACTGGTGGCTGGTGAATGGATTAATTGGAGGCAGTGTAGCAGTTTCCTGTGAAGCTCTCAGTTGTTCAATAAGCGGATTCATCAATTCAACGATTCTTACATTTGAGAAATGAATACATTGAAGATTAGTGGTTGATCAATAAAGCTTTTTGATACCCCTGTACTTTACTTATTGGTATTCGACCAAGATGTGATATAAAATGACACACACGTATACAATTAAAAACATGGAATACTATTGGATATATATATATATATATATATATATATAT